TTTTACACAGACTTTTATTATTCCACCTCATCCATGTCTACTTATACTACAAACATTTCAACTCTAATAACAAATTCAGACAAATCAACAAAAAGCTAGGTTCAACTTCAGGTTATGACAGGTGGAACACATAGACAGCAGAGAATTTTAGCCGGGAGGATGGGGAGGAATCAGCAGGACTTAGCATCTATTATCTTAGTTCAGGGTTTAACATCTGTTCTCTAAGTTCAGCATATACTCTCTAAGTTCAGGGTTTAACATATATTCTTTAAATTCAGAGTTTAACATCTATTCTCTAAGCTCAGAATATATTCTTTAAGTTCATGGTTTAATATATATTCTTTAAATTCAGGGTTTAACATCTATTTTCAAAGTTCAGCATATTTTCTCTAAGTTCAGAGTTTAACATATATTCTATAAGTTCAGGTTTAACCATCAACACAAATTGGATAAATTGTAAGAAGCAATGTAAGAGAATTCTAAAACATACCTCAGCAAGTTCTTTGTCTGTCTCTCCTCTTAGTTCGATGACATTTCTTTCCAAAGTAGATCGCTGGAAAAAAAAATGAAACATACAGGTTCACGGACAAATATCAGCACTTGTGGTTTCTGAGTAAGTAGGGAAAGTAGGTGAAGGACCCTTTTCATGTCTTTGGCAAATCCAGCATATGGTGCCAGTCCCACATTCAAATAGACCAATTAGCACTTGATGGTTAATGTGGTCAACATCAGTTTGGCCACGTTTACTTCCCAGGACATTACCTGGTTCCCATTTTAGGTTAGACTGACATGGAAGCCGAGGTTAGTTGGAAACAAATCCCCGTCAATGCAGATCTGAAATCTAGACATTCAAGCCAGCAGGCAAAGGCTTAACCACTACACTGCTGCAGATCCCAGCATCCCAAAAGGCTAGCATGATTCTGACCACACCACCCATCAAGTACTGACTGATCTTCAGAAATATATGATTAACACTGAGTATTCAGAATGCCTTAAAGCAGGGCTATTCAACTGGCAGCCCATGGGCCGAATCTGGCCGACAGACGCCTAGCAAGTGGCTCCTGGATCATTGCCAACTGTACTGTTTCAATTATGTTTCTATGCTGGGGTTCCAGTCTTTGAAAAGTGATGATTTTTACTTTGGCCCCTGAGCGACTTTGGTTGAAGAGAGCTACTTTAAAATTTAAAGAGTTTTCCTTTTTTTAAAATCGTATAACAAGCTTATAAAAATAAGATTAGGTGAATGAACATCAGTCGATGAAGAAACAGTAAGTGAACCTCTACAGCCAAAGCCAGAAACAGAGCAGGAAAGTTGTGGAGATCCAATATTACTAACCTTTATTGTGGAGATTGCTCTTGATTTTATACTGTTTCCTATTTTTTAACTTACTTCTGAACAAAGTCGTTTCTAAACTAATGAACAAATTATCTATATGGCAAGTAATGCACCAATGCAAACGGGAAGAAGCATGGACAGAGCTGATATTTTCAACGCTGCATGGATTAGGTTGAAGAATAATGGCGAATACTGACGCTTACAAGACTGCGTGACAATGAAGTTAAGTTTGGTGAAGCAGGTCTATGCCATCTTCGAGGTAAAGAGAGGAGATATTCTAACAAACTCCTCATGGGAACAATAGGTGGAGGTACCATGGGGTGGCTGCTACACTGAATGACTGAGCATGCATGCGGTTGCCCAATGTGCAAAGACGTCCATTGTGATAACATAACATTTATATGACAAATGCAAATAATAAGGTGCTTGGGTCATTTAATGGGAAAGGAACCTCTGTAGAATTACCCCAGTATGTGTAAAACTAAAGAAGAATGGGTAACGTGGCGTGAGGAAGAACAATATATATATATTACACAGGCTCAAATTAGCCAACACCACACATTTGTTCTTACTGTGGCATGTTGTTTTTGTGGTTCACAGCTAGGCTGCACCATATACATCCAATTTCAGCAAACTCCTAATCAGCTGCCTTTTAGGACATGCTTGTTAGGGATGGGGGCAGTGTGTCTATAAGTTACTGCTCCTCCCAGAATGGGACCCCGGAACCCACAAAAGGAACTGCACATTTAACATATAGACATAAACATTTGGTGATCCATTACAGTCAATCTTCTTTGTGAAGTTGACTCATGACTGTCACTGTAGTTTAGATTAAACAGTGATAAGAGAACTAAAAGAAGATAGTGATATACTGAACAGATTCTTATGTAAAGAGATGGCAGAGTGTCGGACTTGATTCTATACATGATATCTAAAGAACTGTAATGAATAGATTGGAATGAAAGAATTTACTGCCAGTAAATTATATAAAATACTCAAAAGGATAATGATGATAATGATGTCATAATGTCATACAAGCAACAAAAAGATATGTATCGTCAGAGAACGTTCCTTGGCACTGCAGTAGAATTGTTTTTAACAGATTACTAGTTAAAACAATGTAACCAAACCTGGCTTTTTACAGGAATCAAATTAAGAAACTGGAAAGCAATTGCTGTAGCTGTACATGAAGTCGACACTGACTTTAATAACTCAAAACATACCTGCATAGCATATGGAACAAACATAAGTTATTATTCCAAGCTTAGTCTTAGTCGAGTTTTCAACTTTAATGCAATCAGGTTTCCCTATGCCTGCTCGTTCCGGTGCCAGTGAAAATAAAATGAAATGTCCCTCATTGTCCCAACTTAAAAACTGGTAAACAAACAATTAGTCCCAGCACAATCCAGAAATATGTGCATGCAGTAAATGCATATGGCAGTTGCTGGAGACGCCAAAGCCAACAGTCGCCACCAGAAATGTAGTTTCCAAGCTAAACTGTCACTATCCTTTTTTTTCTTTCCATTCTTTCCTTTCCATACAAAACAACTGTCCAAATGTACACAGGTGTACAAACATGCGCCTTTCAAAGCAATGCTATAGAAATAGATAACTGAGACCCAGATACATCTAAAAACACTTATATTTATATGCATATCATCTTACTTTATCATCCAATTCATCCAGCCGTTTCTGTGCTTCCTTCTTCTGTGACTCCAGCTGATTCAAGGTGGCAGTCAAGGAGTCAAGCTCCTTCTGCAAGACCTGGACTTCACTTTGCCTGATCTTGATGTCAGCCTCCTGCTGAGACTTGTCTCTTTCTAAGTGCAGTTTCTCTCTACGGAAAACATCCAGTTTAGAATAAACAAATCTCATATAGTTCCAAACCACCATAAGTGAAATCATTTTGCTCTTAACAAAAATAAATCACCTGGTCAGTCACTTAGCAAAGTATAAACTACACTACTGAATACCAAAACGCCAGCCAAGAAAAAACCTCACAGCTATCTCCAAATCTATTTACCAGATATGCAAATTTAGAATAAGGCGCTCCTAATCAGATGTTAATTAAAAATACCTGACATGTTTTAAAAGTAAAATGTCAAGATGATTAAACCATTACTTTGTTGGTTTTATCTAAACACAAGGTTATACGTGAATCATCATCTTCGTTAACTCTTTCAATACCATGCAACTCATATTAATTTCATTAGTTGGTCCAAAGACTGTACATATTTCTGATCTTCCTTTTTTTGGCAGATAGTTGTCAGATTAACTCATTAATCTCAATTGTTAGTTTTCCTTCTTCAACCCATAGTGTTAAAATTTTAACTATGATGGGTTCAAACACTGGCTGCTTTAAACTAGAATTTCTCTGGATATAAGCAGAGCTGTTAAAATTATCACAACCATAAACTTTCAAAAATATATAACAAATCACTGACTGACTTTCCTTCAGAAATCAATGTATTTCCTCTTCAGTATTAAAAAAAAAACAAGTAAAGATCCCTTTTCATGCCTTTAGGCGTATCGGGCATATGGGAAGAGCGCCCATATTTTTTACAGACCATCAGCACTCGGTGGGTAATGTGGTCAGCACTACGCCAGCCGTCTTTACTTTCCCAGGACAGCCATCCTGGTACCCATTTTAGGCTGGGTCGACCTGCGACGTCCCATACCATGATAAAAATCCACACATTCCTCTTCAGTATAATAAAGGTTAATTATAATTTTGAAGTTTTATATTGAAAAAAAAAAACCTTAATCATCACACAATACAAATGAATAATCATACATTACAAAAAGAACAGACAAAAATTATTTGTCTGTGAGATGAGATCTATCACAAAAATATCCATAACACGTTCTCCAGCAGAAATGGCAAGTGTAAATGTCATTGCAGAAAACAGATACTGAAAAGGAGTACGTAAGTAAGTAAGTAAGTTTGACCCCATCAGGTCATCACCCAGAAAAAACAAACACCCTGTGACACAAAGTGCCCCCTTGCAGATTAGGATCACCGGTTGAGAGATCTCGGAAACCCTGTTCAACCGCCAGGTTATATTAGGGCCCCTAGCAACAGCCAGGGTGGGGCTTTAAAAAAATGAAAAACTGCGTCCCACAAGGGGACGACAAGGTCACATATAACAAGAATTGAGAAATGACCCAGATAGATGAGATAGTTAGGCAAACTATTCTTTCTGGCAAGGGACATCACTCCAATTTTCCTGCTGTTTATTTTATGTGAAAACACAGATTTTAATTTCAACCCTGATCTGATGGACATATTTAATGTTTGTGTATTCGCGAGAGTGCGTGCATTTTTTAAAAAAATTTTCTTTTTTAAAAAAAAAAGACATATTATGAACAGTAAATAAATAACACATTTACAATTAATCAGTGTGTTGAAAAAAACTTACTTTTTAATATCATCTATTTCCTTACTGATATGGTCTAACTCTTTAACAGCTGAGAAATCTGCCACATGACTGTAAGGACCAGCGTTCGTGCCATTCTGCAACATAAATAAATATCAATAAAGAATATTTGTTTTCACTGCGCCACTATCACACATCGTAGGTTTATTAAAAATCTGCCACAAAGTAAACTCGAGCCCAAGACCTTCGGCTGAGACAGGCAATTATCTAGCCTCTAAACTTTTGCTGATCCCTTTTACATTTTACAGTTTAACTCTTTCAGTACCTGGCAGCTCACCATTTGTTTTTCTGATTACTTTTTCTTCTGTGTTCTCACTTAAAATGAATGCTGAATTATGAATCAACAACACAGCGCTTCGTCCCCATCTTCAGCAGCAAGCAAAGAGTTCCTACTCCGATGGCACCAATAACTGTCTGACTGTATATCCGTCTTTCCCCTGAGTGTTGAGCGTCTGATAGATCCCCTGGTAACTCTTCGCTGCGCCATTTTTCTCAGATCACACTGTTCACACGCTCCCAAAGGGTCCTCACAACATTTAGCTTGTCATGCATCAGTTCAACACTAAGTGGTGCAGGACCAGCCAGTCTGACTGCTCGCTCATTTCCCAACAACACCAGCATTCCTGGAGAAAATATCTAAAGAACTCATTTAAAATGGTGGTTGGCATAATGTGCTTTACAGACAGGCTGCAATATCGGCCCAACAGCGGACCTCTAACAAGTAGTCTTCTAGGACATGCTTGTTTGGGGATTGCGGGAATATTCTTTTTTATTCTTACAAAATCAAGAGGCTTTGGAACTCAACATGTGGATACTGTGGATACAGTTGCATCATATACAGTGGCTAACTTCTTTGTTGAAGTTTACTTTTACAATTAATTATCCTGAGATATCAACGTTGTCTTAGCCCTGTCGCACCGAGGACCCCCTTCCCCCCATTTCCCCCTCATTTTTTGAGTTTTTGATAACAAGAAAGTCTTAGAGCAGTAGCAACTAGGCTTGTATAACATCACTGGTACCCGTTGCAACTGCACAGTGCGAAGACGTGTTGGCTATGATTGTACAGGTATTTATGCCCCAAAACAAATATTATTTCAGGTGAAAATTAAATTATAAAGCTGTGCTACATGTTATGAATTAATATTCTAAGAACTGACTTTGTTGTTTTTGACAGCATTTTCTTTATCAATAAGTTAGTGGTCATTCAGAACAAGAACTTAATGTAACACAAACTATGACTTAATAGTTTAACAAAGGAAAAGACAATAAGTGCCTAAATCCAATTGAACATTTCAACCAGTCTTTATCAAGCCAAAACAGCAGAATAACACAATACTAAGAAAGTTACATCTTCTTCTTCAGTATTATGAGCCCTTGAGGTTCTTTGCTGCAGATATCACCCACCTCCACCTTCTCTTGGAACTTGGAAAAAGAAAACAAAAATGTCAAACAGTCCTCTTTTAGCCATCGAGGTTGACTTGCTTGCTCTTTCTAGTTGGTGACTCCAAGTGTTTGTATCTCTACCTGGAGATTATCTCTCCACCATTTTCTTGTTTACCTTGTGGTCTACTCTCATTCTACTTCCTTGTGTACAAAGTTTGGGCCTCTAAGTCATCGGCCATTCTCTCTATTTGCCCCAACCATTTCATGATGCCAGTAATTAGAAGTGATTTAAACAGATTATGAATTTCATTGTTGCTTCCTACTCTCTCTTCCCTGCTGTTTGCACCTCTGATGGGCCACTACATGATTCTGTTCTCAACAAGAAAGTCATAAAGATATAGAAATGGAAAAAAACTGGAACAGGAAGAACTATTATAAAATTAAAATTAAACAAGTCAAGGGAAAATGAAGGGAAAAAGTATGTGAAAAAAAGAAATGAATTAATAAAACAAATTAGATGAAGGTATGCTGAACATGAGAGAAAGCGCAGTTTTAATTGTGTGAAGTTACACTTTGATAACAGTTAGAATAGTTTCCGATATTTAAAAAAAATAAAATTAGAAAGACAATATCATGAAAAAAAATGCAAAATTCTGGCTGTTTGTTTTTACTGCCTGTATGTGTACCATTTTTTAAGATGGTAGAGGTCAGGAAGTCTGCAGCCAGAGGATTATGGTGGCATGGCTAGTGCAACCACAATCAACAATGCACGGCAGGAACTTTTTCCCCTGACACACACACATATAAACTGTCATCACCTTAAGCAGGATTCAAACCTGGATCCTCACCCACCCTTTTGGCTGACAAGTATAAATTATTTAACCTGATAGTCAAATTTCTGTAGTTATTTGTTAATCTAGCCTATCACAAGTGGTAAAGTTTGAAAAAAACTGAATGTACCCGAACTCCAAAAGCTGCTGGATCTGCTACTGATCTTAAAGATGGAGGAATCATTTCTGGTGTCAGCTGTACTGGAGGTTCAACACCTTTCAGCTTCTGCTGAATTAGAAACATGGCTAGGGCAAACTGTTCGGCTGTAAGCTTGCCCACGGACTGGCTGTCACAAAGTCCCCTAGGAAAGATTGAGGAAAAAAAATGTGTTGGCATTTCAACCAGCAAAATAATCACCATTAGTTCTACAGGCAAGCACTGCATGTGAAGAGGTATATATCAATTATAAATTTCCTCCTTGTTGAAATCTGCCCTTTATCCCCAACTGAGCACAGGCCTAACTCACACAAAAGCATGTTAAACCTTGCCACACCATACAGCTCACTCATTATCTTCCTATGTTCTTCTTTTTTAGTTTTCACCAGCTGTTAACTCTGGCAGAAAGTTCTGGTTGTTTGTCCACTTTAGTCTTGTCCCAGAACTTGATTTTTGCATGAACGTCCATTTTACAGATCTGCTTATTTGTTTGCAGACCGCCCCGTGTGGGATATGGGACCCTACCGCGGGGGAAAACAAGAATGCATCATCATGCTGGACCTTCATTTGCTGATTAATTTTTTTATAGGTTTCACCCCTTCACTGATTTAAAAACAAAACAGGATAACAGAATTCTGCTCCTGCTAGGTGCAAGTCAAAAGTGACGTTGCCATCTTTAAACTGTCATTATAGCGTCACTATGTTAGTCTGCACTGTGACATCTTTAACAAAAATATTGACAGGTTACAAGGCAATAGCATGGTTATTGTAATTAACGTATTGAAGGTTTTTCACTATAAGCCCTCTCATATAACAGACTGCTGTAAGTTTGATCAAGGCTGGTCCAAAAATGGTTTGTTGCTTTTTATCAAGGCTGGTCAAGAAACAGTTTGATGCTTTTTATCAAGGCTGGTCAAGAAACAGTTTGATGCTTTTTATCAAGGCTGGTCAAGAAACAGTTTGATGCTTTTTATCAAGGCTGGTCAAGAAACAGTTTGATGCTTTTTATCAAGGCTGGTCAAGAAACAGTTTGATGCTTTTTATCAAGGCTGGTCAAGAAACAGTTTGATGCTTTTTATCAAGGCTGGTCAAGAAACAGTTTGATGCTCACCAAATGTGGGCCAGCACATTTGTACGAAGGCCACTCTGGGTCATGATATCCCGGATATCTCCACCACTGACCAGCCCATCATGATCTGTGTCCAGCTGATTGAATATCACATCGTAATTGGCTTTCTCTGCAGCTGTTACAACCCAAGGTACTTGAGACTGAAAGAAAAACAACAGAAAATCACTAGCGAAAACATGGTAGTACAGCATCATAAAGTAAATTATGGACTCAGGGATTCTGTCCTGGCAAAATGCAACAATACACAGTACCGGCATCTTTATTTTTTCATCACTTTGTTCCAAAGCAACTGTAACAGACACTTTGTGTTGAGTTTGTACACTTCATTATGCCGAGTACTGACACCATTTATTTAAAACAAATGCCCTGTTTGGGCTATATTATCAGATCTATGGCCTAGAGTACTGGAATTCCAACAGGTATTTTTCTGTCATGGTGGTAGTGTTACTCAGAGGTTATCAGTCCCACAGATACCTTCTTTAATCACCTTTTAGATGATTAGTAAAGTACTAATTTAAGGATCTTTTCCACACCTGTGGCTTACCGAGCATATGAAACTAAACTCCTTTTTTGCTAGATCATGCCAGCCACTTTTACTTCCCAGGACTATAGATGGGATAGTAGGAAAGGTTGACCTTTTATTTTTAAATCTTACTCGAAGTAGACTCTAACCTTCAGATCAGCAGATAAGCATCTAGTCACTATGTCATTGCGGCTCCCACTGTATATTTAATTCAATAATTTATAAACTGTCCTGTTGTGCTGTTGAATGTTACATAGAGCCCAAAGTCTATTCTTCTATTCCATTCTATCCTGTGCAATTCCTTGGATATCATGGATGGAATCCAGTCCAGCAACTTTGGCTTCTCTCATCAACATTCACCTTATGGTTTCTCTTGGATGTCCTCATTTATTCAATTACTCTATTTCTTATTTCAGTGCCTTTTGGTAATTTACTGTGTGTCTCTTCTCAGAAAGTGTCCAATATAGCGCCATCGTCTCTGCCTAATGACCACTGATTCTGGTGGTTGCCCAGACATTTCTCTCATTTCTTCACTCTTCTTGAATTCATCCCAATTTACGGTTATCATTTTCTTCAGGCATTTGTTTTTGATATACTTTTGTTCCATATCTTTAGTGCTTCTGCTAATTTCAGTAACATACGTTGAAACTGAAACTATGATTAGTAGGTTACTATTCTTTGCTTCCCTTCAATCAGTTAATCAAATGCTACCTCAAAACGGAAGGAAGGCGCAATGGATTTCTAACAAATTCTGTCTCTCCTCCTGACTGTACAGTCTCACTGAATGCTGCTGTTTGGGTTTTTTGCCATTATCTTTCCAACTGTATCGCTATCTACCTCAGATATTGTGAGGGTCCTTTGGGAGTGAGTAAACAGTGCAGAGGCACAAACAGATCATCACAGTCTGAAGAGACTGATGCAGCAAGAAGTGACCAAGGGATATGGCTGATGCTCAACAATCAGGGGAATCAGACTTTTCTGGTTTAATTGGAATTGGAACTCTCTGCGCTTGCTGCTGAAGATGGGGACCGAGCCCTTATGGGAATGTCCTAAGTGCCACGATATTGGTTCTTAACTCATAAAAATTCTTTCTTTCCTTACTGTCTTCTTCTTTCCTTTCCTTATTATCTTCTTCTTTCCTTGCCTTACTGTCTTCTTCCTTTCTTCCCTTATTGTATTCTTCTTCTTCAGCATGCTGAGCCTTTGAGGTTCATCGCTGTATATATATCACCCACCTCCATTCATCTCAGAATTTGAGGCACTGATAAATGTTTTATGATGAAATGAGGTTTTACAACTGCAAAGGTGTTGGTCCTATGCTTCAACCCCATAACGTGAACGACCAGGGTCTCTATCTTTTGTTTGTTCTCTACTGCTTGACCCTCTGCACCATGGTGTCATGAGCTTAACACTCTTGATATTCTTAACAATAATACTGACAGGTTACAAGTCAATGGCATGATTATTGTAACTTTTATCACAAGTGCAATAATAGCATCACAGCTGTTGATAGATCTATATTATATTTTCATATAAATTACTTTGAACTGTTATCTGCTTACCCCATTCATACTCTGAGTGGGTGTGGACCTGCCCCAGTTAGCTCCTGGTGTGGCGCCAGGCACCGGTAAAACAGGGACTGCACCAGGTATGCTAGCAGCTACAACTCCCAGCCCCTTGCGTTTTGAAGGAGGTACCAGACCTGGACGCAGAACATTTGGGGTCTCCATGCCTTCACGAGCCTGGTAAACCAAATGCATTGCCTGAAAAATAAACAAAAACAGTTAACTCTCTCTCTCTCTCTCTCTCTCTCTCTCTCTCTCTCTCTCTCTCTCTCTCTCTCTCTCTCTCTCTCTCTCTCTCTCTTTCTCTCTCTCTGTGTCTCTCCTTCTCTGTTCCCCCCGACCCTTTTTTTTTTGCTCTTTGAGACACCTATTTACACAGATACTATGGTAACATATAGGAATATGATACATAAACAGCTGCATAAACTTTAACAAATACAGTCAAAGCTTTTCAGAAAAAAAAAATTTAAAACACAGAATACTCTAAGCCAAGAAAAGGAAACATTTTACAAGACCTGGACATCAAATAAATCTGACATATAAATAATATCATGTTCTGGCAATAACAAATTTAAAGGGTGACCAGATTAAAATTTCACTGTGATTTAGAAACATCAGTAAGAAAAGATCCAAAAGAAGCAAACAATTGAGGATGAAGGGTGAGAAGCAACAACAAAATTTATAATTGTAAATCACTTCTAATTACTGGCATCAAGAGGGCTAATAGACTGCAAAGGTTGGATCATATAGAGAGAATGGCAGACAAAAACGGCACAAAAAGAGTTGAATAGGAGCAGACTATGAGGCAGACCTACAAAACACGAAGCCACTAAGTGGATAGAGAAGGCCAATCACAGAGATGAACTGAGACAGGTGATATCTGCAGCAAAGACCTTCAAGATGTCTGAATGCTGAAGAAGCAAAAGTGATGGAAGATGCAGATTTAAGAGAATGAGGCAATAGTGAAAAGAGGATGTTCAAGAAATGTTAAATATAACAAGGAATAAGAAAGGTAAATGTGTGGTAAATATACTGTTAACTATCTCATTAAATTTCCTTCCATGAACAATATTTGGCACTCAATAAAATTTATAAAATTAGGCTGACTTCTGAATCATGCAATTAAATTAATATCCTGGCACTGCAGTCAGTCAGTGTACTAACTACTGCACCCAACAATATAAACTGGTATGTCAATCAATACTGAACAAAATACTAATAAACAGAACAAGAACATACCACAGCAAATTCATCCCTGTCCAAGTAGCCATCTTTATCTATATCACTCATATCCCAGATTCGACCAAGGATGTCCACGGGCAGTTTTGAGTTCATAAGTACCTGTAAATTTTTATTGAACAATTTCTTAAGTCCTGACTTTTAAAGCAACAGAGAGTACTAGCCCTAAATTTTCTTAACTTTTGAATAAATTATATCAAAAGCCACAAGTGGGTAAAATACAGCTGTATCCTTCTACCCTAATAATGAATGCTTCCTGGAGGGGGAGGGGTGTAGAAGCTTGTTAAAATATAAAATCACCTTCATAACAACAGATTTTGTTTGCCCCCCCCCCCCCTCCCCCCCCATATGTTCTCTTTCTCTCATTGCAGAACAAAAGAACTTTATTTTCAAAAGGTCACAAATTGGGCATGAAGGCCCATCTTACATTCGGCCCTTTCAAAAACCTGTCTTTCACACAGTAGTTGTATTTTATCAATAAAGCATGTTATGTTCATCACACACCCCCCACCCCTCCCTCCCCACCCACTTCCCCCCTCCCTCCCCACCCACCCCGCGCGCGCGCACACACACACACGTACGCACGCGCGCGCACGCAATTTCAAAGGATTTCCTTTGACTGCACCTTTGATAACAACTCACCCCTTGTCCTATTATGCCATTATAAATCACATAGGGCTTGCCGCCTTTTTCTCTATTCCACTGTATCCTGTGCAATAAATTCAATACTGAGAATGGAATCCAGTCCAGCACCTCTGGCTTCTTTCATCAATGTATGCTACAGGGTTGCTCTTGGATGTCCTGGTTTCCTCAACCCCTTTATTTCCCATTTCATTGCCTGTTTGGTGATTCTCTGTTTGTCTCTTCTCAGAATGTGTCTAATATAGCGCCATCTTCTCTGTCTTGTAACTGTTGATTCTAGTGGTTGCTCAGATATTTCTCTTATTTCTTGCCTTCTTTTGAATTTATCCCACCTAATGTTCATCATTTTCCTTAGGGATCTGTTTTAAACTCAACTGCACAGTTTAAAAAGGAAAAAAAAAAACACCAAGATCTTCACAGTGTGTGGTAAATGGCTCAACCACTTCACTGTGTGTGGTTTCTCCAATAGACTCAATGGCAAAGATGATGCCACAACAATGAGTGAAGCTGTACAATGTCCTATGAAACTACCCAGTAAGGCTAAACAAGACAAAAAAAGCCCACTGACGTTGGATGTGTTGGCCGAAAGACACTTGCATCACAGCTATCATGTAAACTCAAACAAATGAAGAAGAAAAAAACTAGAGTAAATGCTGTTAAAACCTACAGCATCACATTTCTGATCGTTGATGAAATTTATATCAATAAAAGTGAACACATCTCTGCATTAAACAGTTTACTATGGGAACAGAGAAAGGAGATGGCAAAAGAGAACAGAAATGACATCAGCCAAGAATAAAGATGACATCAACAAAAACAAGAGAAAATAATGATGACAACAGAGAAAAATGATGACAACAGAGAATAACAATGAGAGAATACCGATGACAACAGAGAATAATAATGACAATGGAAAATGATGACAAAAGAGAATAACAATGAGAGAATACCGATGACAACAGAGAATAATGATAGCAACAGAATAACAATGACAGAACAACTATGACAACAAATAATAACAATAACACAGAATATTGACAACAACAGAGAATACTGACAACAGATAATAATAATGACACAATGATGACAAGAAAGAATAACAATGACGGAAAATAATAATGACAGCACAAAATACTGATGACAATACAAAAATAATGATGACAACAGAGAATAACAATGACAGAAAATAATGATAACAATGACAGAAAATAATGATAACAACACAGAAAAATGATGACAAAATAGTATATCTATGACAGAATAATGATTACAATAGAAAATAACGAAGACAACAGTGGATAACAATGAGATCTTACAGGCTTGACTTTATCTCCGCCCAGCATGTTGTTCACCGGCTGAAGGCTATCAAAGACTTTGTCATACTTGGATTTCTCGGACAGCTGCAAGAAACAGAACCAGATTAATCAGGATAATGAGCAGCCAAAGACATTTACAAAACAAAACAAATGTTAAAGTTAAAGATTAACTCTTTCAGTCTCAGGGAGTTTAACATTACAGGCCCAAGGGATAATATAGAGAGACGTAAAACCTGCTCATCTTGCGTTTACTGGGCTTCTTGGTAGGAACCTATGAACGTATGATGGATTCCTTGGGACTGAAAGAGTTAAAAGTCAAGAGGATCGACTTTATTGCACTGGGTTTTATCCCGTTTGGTCAGGCTCTTTTTAGCCCTCCAAGAGCACTGCACACAGTACGAACACCGAAAATCCCTAGGGGTCTCAGGAAAATACAAAAATATGTTATAAGTAAAGAAGAGTTATGGGTTATAGGGGCTAGCCTCTTTTTTTAAAGACCAATCAGCACATGGCAGGTGATGACTGGCAAGGAGTTAGTTCTGGGAAGCCAAAGTGGCGTAGCGGCTAGACCCTCCTCTGCTGGCCAGGTCTTAGACTTCGAGCAAATTGTTTTTCCAAATTAACTTTGGCTCTCAGGTCAATCCAGCCTATGAAAAAAGATGGGATGGAATGAAGTGACTGCAAAGGATAAGACCACTTAGGTGTGTGGGTTTTGGGTCTGTGTGATGTTGGTGAATAAACTCTGAGAGGAGGAGCAGAAGAAAAAGTAGGAGGGGAAAAACAAAGAAGAGGAAGAAGGTGGAAGAGGAGGAGCAGGTATCTGGAGATGTACAATGTGTCTTAGTCAGAACTAAAAGGGAATATACATATACATTCTTTGCAACACTTACTGTAATGTCCCATGGAATGTTAGCTACAAAGGCTGGCTGGGTCGATATATCCATCACTTCCACTGGACCCTGCATTGCCATAAAGAAACCACAGTCAAGACACATAAACACTAATTTTCACAGAAAACAAAAGTAATTCCCACACTTCTTCTACTTCTTCACTGCATTCACCAGCTGTAAACTCTGGTGTAAAGTTCCAGTTGCTCGTCCACTTCTGGACTGCAGTCCTTTGCATGTGTATCCATCCGTTTGACAGATTTGACACACTCTGACTTCGAAGGAAGCTCCCAGTTAGTCAACTCTCACGACATGCTTTTGGGTAGGCAGTGGGTCTGTTCTTGTTTTTCCTATAATAGGGCCCAGAACCTGCACGGGGAATTCCTACACTAATTTTCTCCTTCTTTTCTCTACTCCTGGAATGCCTCACAGCATCAGGGCAGGAAGAGATCTCTGGAACAGGCCCTTCTGTTCACTTCTTATAAAGTACTTCTCAGTATCTCTGATATTTCTGCGGTCCATCTTCTGTGTGGTCGACCTTTGGCTCTGTTACCACTGTATCTCTATGACACTGATCTCTGTGGTGCCCCGTCCGATGCCAATCTTGTTACAAGAATTTTCACAGAAAAGAAAGGTAATTCCCACTGTAAGAGTTATCTGTTATGAGCAACACCTTCTCTATTCCTTTGTGCATAACAATCGCTCCAATCTACTCACACTGTCAATGAGTCTCAGCACATATTATTCAACTGATGAGGATACTAATGTACATGTGTATGTGAGTTCATCCCTGCAATTCTACAGGAGACACTGCAGTCAGGAATTGTTAGGTCTTCATATAAATTAAAACAACCAAGTCAGAATTAATCTGGGCTGTTGTGGTTTTTAGAAGGCAATTTTACACTCAGTAGTTTCACACCAACATCAAAATCTATGCAAAGTAGTCTGCTGACAAATCCACCTGCGACTGGAATCCAGCCAGCCATGTATTTCAGAACTACAAACTGCCCTTGCAGTGCCTAAGAAACAAGAGCAGATTCATATATTCTAGGTTACAGCATAATGAGTAGGATAACTAGCTCTCATGCACATGATCTTTTCTTCTTTAACATTCTCAAACTAATCTGAAGCCTTTTTTTGAGACTGCATCACAAGCACAACCCTTACCGTCATTAAATAAATTAAGCCCCATAGCAGACACTATGAATTTCTTCTTCTCCTGTTTAGCATTAACCGGCTGTAAACTCCAGGGGGAGGGGGAATGCTCTGGTTATTCATCCACTCCTGGACTTTAGTCTTCTTCCAGAATTTGAGCTTTGCATGCACATTCATTTTAAAGATCTGGCTTATATGTGCAGATTGTTGGTCCTTGCCTCTCTGGGAAGATACAAGCGCTCTTAACTTCAAAGAAAACACTTCTAATCATTCAACTTTTACGACAAGCTCATTAGGAGGCAGTGACTCTATTCTTTTTCTCCCCCATAAAGGAGCTTTGGAAACCACACGGGAAAGGTTGTGAAGTGACAGGCCTTTATTCTAGGCCACAACATCTGTTGTTGGATGGCCAGTTCCTTTCCTCAGTGATACATTTGAAGAAGATAATGACAATAATCTACTGTCTGTTTTTATGAGATTGGGTCAAAGTACATTGAAAATGTTAAATAATCTGTAGGAGGTTGTTTTTTAAATATGAATACCAGTGATTATAAATTACAAACATTCTTTACTGAGGTATCACTGGATTGAATTCTTTTGAGGTAATGCTGGAATGGATTTTCTAAGAATTCTTTTGAGGTACTGCTGGAATTAATTTTTTAAGAATTCTTTTGAGGTACTGCTGGAATTGATTTTTTAAGAATTCTTTTCAGGTACTGCTGGAATTGATTGTCTAAGAATCCTTTAGAGGTACTGCTGGAATTGATTTTCTAAGAATTCTTCTGAGGTACTGCTGGAATTTATTTTCTAAGAGTTCTTTTGAGGTACTGCTGGAATTTATTTTCTAAGAATTCTTTTGAGGTACTGCTGGAATGGATTTTCTAAGGCATCTCAATAACGGTCTCATTAGTATTTAACAAAAGCAAAAATAAAAAATAACTACTTATCACAAATGTTTAGTTATAGAGAACACTGAGTTTTCAATAAGTGACTTAAAAAAAAAGGAGTGCGATGTGTAAAAATGTCTGTGCCGATGCTACAATAAAGGCAGGCTCCAGTTTATCACTGTTATCTTTGGGAATAATTACACACTGAGGCTCTAGTCTCTTCCACAGTGCGACTCTCGTACCATTTTTCAAAAACCACGAGAAAGAATTTATTTCCGTCCAAAGCTGGGAATCAAACCCTAGTATTTAAGGATCATGAAACTGTTAACTGCACTCACTAACCTTTAAGCCACAGCACCACAATGAGGAGAAAGAAAAAAAAAGACCATTTTTAAAACAGGCAGATAGTGCTGGACCCATATTTTTGCAGACCAACTGACATTCAACATGTGAGGTGGTCAATATCACATTGCTTTCAGTTTAAAGTAGAGAGGATCGACTTCACCGCTCCCAGGTTATTCCCAATATGGGTCAATACCTTTCCGCAGAACAGCTAGTTGACTGCCACACAAAGCACAAACTCTCTAGCACCAGCGGTGATCCATAGGAATTTTTATAAAAGGTATGCTTGTGAACTGAATGACATGTGAGTCTATCCCTCTCCCCCCCCCCCCCCCCCCCCCCATCCCCACCAGCTGAGAATGGGGCCTTGGAATCTACATGGAGAGGAAAAACTTGGAAGCCTTGGATAATAATACAAATCTGCCTTAAAGTGAACTCAAAACATTCAATAAGATAATAAATGCAACACTAAATAAGTATCAACTAGATATCTCCTTGCAGATACAGAGATCTGCATGTTTTACCTACAAGGTCTGGAGCTGTGGTCTCTGCACTCAGGTTAGCCACATTCATCTCTTGTTTAGTCTGTGCCAAGGATATCAGCTTTAAGGCAACAAAGAAGCCACTTTTTTCTAGGTACCCCTTGCCCATGGGGTCTGACATGTCCCATACCTGCAAATATGGAAGTATACTTGTTCTATCACAACACAACCACTGATACAGAGCTGAAACAACCTCATAATTCTATTCTTTGTTGGTTACTGATTTGTTTGAAAACAACATGGCTGTCTGATACCAAAAGAATGAACGAGTATACCTCGAGAAATGTCAGCCACAAAAAATCATGCACCCATTTACTGTTCACTGATTATTTCTGAGATCATCTTCATTGCACATCGGGCATGACCATAAATGCTCCAATCTCCTCCTGAGTGTGTCTCCAAGTATTTTTACGCTAACAACTCACATTCTGTTCTGGACGATGTAACTAATATGTCCTGTCTTGTGGCTCCAATTGGTACACCCAGGGTATGCAGTCTATTCAGTGAAAAATCCCTTTCCATGACAGTGAAAACCGCACAGCATTTAGTCTCTCTTATGGCACGGATGATGTCTCTCCTGTCCACAGAGTGCCCATTCCTGATAGTCAGACTGCTAACCAGAGCATCTGCTCTCTCACTGTCTTTTCTCTCTCACTGTCTTTCACACTAGCATGTCCATTTACTGCACACAGCTGGCAGTCTAAGCAACAAATGCTTGCAGAAGTTGGATGTGTTGGCCAAAAGACTTAATATCACAGCCATGTTGTTAATGGGCCCAGCACATTTACGCCTTTGGATTAACACAGAAGAAGAAGAAACCCAGTGCTATGAAGCTGATCCTCCCAACTTTAAGTTTTAACTCTTAATTTTAGTTTGCAACTTAACTGTACACATGCAAGAAATTAGTTAATTTTTTTTTCTACTATTCTCAGTTTTTTTTCTATCTCATCCCTATCATTATCTGCTATTAGGCAAAAAAAACTCTAAATAGGTATCTTTTTATTTGCTGTAATTGTTTGCGCATAAACTGTATTTCACTGTCAGCTTATACAAAGACTTACTAATGGACAGATTGACAAATTATGACGTTTCTCGGGGTGAGGTTCGATCGCAGCTTGTCATTCAGGGAACACGTTGACCATGTGATAACAAAAGCACGCAAAGGTCTATCTGCAATGAGGATTATGGCTGCTTCCAATATCGAGCAAAGACTACTAATACTTCTATTCTACGGTCTGGTCCTTTCACCCATTGAATACGCTCTGGCCATCCTCACTGTCAGTGCTACCCAGATTGAACGACTCGAAAAGGTACAAAATGAAGCCATGCGCATTATTTTGGGATGTACAAGAGACACATCTTGTGGAGCAATGAGGTATCTACTTGACTTTCCAACAATGAACCAAAGGATCAGGATGTGGAGGGCTCGGGCATACCTCAAAATATGTGCTGATAAGAAACACCCACTGCATCAAGCGCTTTTTAGTGAAAAGGGCGACAGACTGAAGAGGGGAAAATCGTGGCTAGGTCGGGCAGAAGATGTTATTAGGCAAATATGCAGCCTAACCGACATCATACCTGGTGCAGAATGGATACCTGTGCCTCAGGCGTTTATTTGTACATTTTCCTGTATTGTCACACTCAACAGGCGATGTAGAGAAGAGAATCCTGTTGCTGTTAATGCAGAGGTCAACGCTCTCATCGGTGAAAATTCAGACGAAGCAGATGCACTAATCTATACAGACGGATCCGTTATACGCCAAAGAAGAAGCGCATGGGCATTTACAGCACGCTCAGCGGGCAGAACAGTCAAAGAAGCCAACGGTGCCTTCTCCATGACAACCAGCAGCATGACGATGGAGGTGATGGCAGTGACGCAAGCGTTTGCCTGGCTTGAAACACAAAAATACACCCGCATATGTATACTCAGTGATACAATGAGTATGATCCGGAGGGTTCAGGCAGGTTCAGTGCGAAGACAATGGCTTGAATCATTACAGAAGTCCACTGTGCGTGGAGTCACCTTTATTTTTGTTCCGGGACACGCAGGCGTCGATGGAAATGAAAGAGCTGACAGGCTGGCTGGATCTGCTATCACTACCGACAGTCGGCCTATGGATCATGCTGATATTATCAATGCCCTCAGAGAAATGGGAAGGATAGAGGACTTTGGTGGCAGTGAATCCACATCACTCGCCAGAATGGCAGACTTGGGAATTAAGATCGGCACAGCAAAAAACGAGACGCACACCGGACACGTCAGAAGACTTGTTAATCAACATAGAACTGGTACTATTAGCCATCGGACGTTGGGGTTCATACTGAGGGGAGGATCTGAGCACCTATGGACATGTCCGGAGTGCAATGACGATAACCCAACTAACTAACTAACTAACTAAATGGACAGATATGGTATCTAGGGCCCAACATACACTTTTGCCCTCATAAGGACAAGGCCATGATACCACGCTATTCTTTTAAAAGAACATAATATAGGGAGGAAAATGCATGTTTATCTTATCTTTCCATTCATACATCATATTTACATACTAAAAAAAAAAAATTTACAGAGAAGTTGTCAAACCTGAGATAGAATAGTGTCTGCCAGCCTAGACTTTTTGAGAAAATTTGCCGCATCCAAAGCCCCAATGCTTCCTGTGCCCAAGGGGTCAGCCTGAAACACAAATTCTGTGAGTTATCAACACTGTCAGATTTCAGCAGACGTAAAACATTTAGGACTCAACACATTTCCCTGTTTTTTTCTCTTCTTCTGTGTTCGCATTTAAAAGAACGGACGGCTCAAAGTTTTGCAGTGATATCTACACACTTCTGTAACCAAACTGAATTACATACACAACTGTTTATAGTCATTTGGTGAATAAATTGTTTGTTCACTTCTAGCAAACAAAAAATAAAAATAAACCTCTTCTTCTTATTTTTATGCATATGCCCTTCAAAGGGCGTCTGACACATCACCTTGTTGTTTACAGCTGTGACGTCTGCAACTTTCAGCCCAAGTCGTCTGATTTTAGCAAACTCCTAATTAGTCTCCTTTTATGGCATGCCTTGTTAGCGGGTGGTGAGTCTATTCTTGTTTCCCTGCAAAGCGGGGCTCTGGAATCCAAAATAATAATTCTTTGTTTTATTACTTTTTTTTAGGGATCTTTATGGTGAAATGGTTAAGTTTTTTGTCTCTTGTTCTGAAGATCAGGGTTCACTTTCTTATTGTGTCATTTGGCTCACCAACCTAGGCCTAATCTTAGCCAGTAGATATGTGGTGTACTGAATCATGGCTTTGTTAAACCATATCATCAATCATTATCAATCCACAGGCTCAGAGTGTCACTTTCATAGGGGCTGTGTTTCAGACCTTTTCTTTTCTCACTGTTTATGAGCCAATTATTCTCGTTGCTCAGATCATGGTACCATAATATATCAATCAGAAAAATTATAAGACTCAGCACTGATCTTGCTCATTAGAAACACACATTAAAAAGTGTAGAAAGAGGCTAAGAAAATGTGTCACAGAGACTTTAAGTCAACATTGGTTAAATCATCAGCTGAATGGAATTAAGAAAAAATATTAAAATCACAGCACAAAACATTCCCATAAGAATTATGTCCCCATCTTTAGCAGCCAGCTCAGAGCTCCAATTTGAATGGTACTAGTAGCAGTCTCATTGTATGTCCACCTTTACCTATATGGTAAAATACAAGAACAGAAAGTTTGAACATATTGTTAAAATTTACAAAAATGGTGCCAAAAGACATCAAACTCAGCAGAGATAGGTGTTCGAAAATCCTTCATCATGGCATGGAAAGCAGAGGTGGAACTGCAGTGTCATAAAAACCAATGCCAAACTGGCAAAATATGTGATGACATGTCTAGTTAGGTATTCATCTTGATAATTTAACAATTATATATTAAATCTAGTCCTAGAGGTTCATCAAAAAAGTTATGCTGATGGATTCAGAAAAAAAAAAAAATACAATTATAAAACAGGATTCTCTCTCACCTGCATGTAATAGGCCTCAAAAACTCCCCCGTGCTTGCCCACAATCTGAAATTGAAAATGTACAATTAAAGCAGCCAAATGTCCAGATGATCAGACCATTCACAGAGACAATTTAACAGCCACTCCAGCATTGATTAAACATAATAAAGTGAGAACACAAAAGTTTAAAATGAAAATCCTGAAGATTCATGAGATATTTCACCTGGGATTACAATTATCTATACAGATGGTTTTGTGCTAAGAGGCAGATGAAGTATTTACAGGTTCAAAGCAAATGCAGATGGATGGCATTCAGTGCAAGAAATTGTAGTATTTGATACAACATTAGCTAGCTGTGCATCCGCAATAGCTAAGTCACAAAGATATTTGATTACCCACATTAGGAACAGACAACTGTGAATATTTAGTATATTATCTTCTCCTGCTGCATTTGCCATTAAAAGGTCACTTGGTACAGTGTGATGTGGTTTACAACTTGGATGCAATATCTGCACCTTTCAGCCAAACACATCTGATTTCAGCAAACTCAAAATTAGTCGCCTTTTACGACACACTTGCTGTGGTGGGTAGAGGGTGCAATATTGGCTCACATTTTTTTTCTCCCTGATAGTGGGCCCCAGAATACATGTGAGTACATTATGAAATACTGGGACAACCAGAAAGATCAAGGATGTTTGTCAGAGATTGATAGAGGGATAAAATGCTGGATGGTCTGATAGCATGGCATGAACAATTTTGAGTACTCCTTTATCAAAGAATGAGAGAACAGACTGTTGAAGAACAAATCAACTGCTGCTCAGAATCGCCAACTTCTGTGTTGCCCAGGTTAGCTTTCCTAGGATCATGCATTGAAACAGCAGTGTCACCTTAGAAGCATTTCATCAGTGCCCATAATAAAATATACATTTGTCCAGGTCCATAAGCCAATAACAAGTAAAGTATTTTATGAATACTAATTCTAGCTGTTCTTCTGAGACCACCGGCTATGAGCTCCAGCCCCAAGTGTTCATATCTCTTTCTGAACTTGGTCATTGTTCCAGGATTTCAGTGTTGTGTGCACATCTGTGTTACAGATCTGGTTTATTTGCATGCAGACTGCTGGTACCGCACCTCT